AGTATTTGTTGTCCAACCAATGAAAATGAAGAATGTTGTTTATTAAAATGGCTCAACGTTTCGCCTTGAAGAAATTGAAAAATCAGGAGCGAATGGGCGCATACCTAAAGAGTGGTTACTGCAGGATACATATCAGAAGGAAAGTCCACATCGGAATTAGAAACAGTGAGGAGGGCGGGTATCTTGAGCAGTTTTGTTTTTGTACTCGCAGCCAGCAGTTCTCCATATTTTCCCTTAATATACATCAACTGAGATTTAAAGCTTGGAATGGCTTCAATCATCATCATCATCATCATCATCATCATCATCATCATCATCATCATCATCATCATCATCATCATCATCATCATCATCATTAATTTTCTTAAAAGGTTGAGACTTGGTAAAACTTCCAAAAAATATTAATTTACTAGCTGGCCCCCCTTTCGATGAAAGGAATGATCGGTGCCTTAACATCAACTGAAAGTCATATTGGTCTACTCTTTTTACACTCTGCTGGAATGGAGCAATAAATCTTGAGAGAAAAGAGACACGTGTGTTTCCAAGTTGCCAAATATTATATTATAGTTATAGATATATAGATTGATTCTGTTTTCCATTTTCGTGGTTGAACATTCCATAATTTCAAAGGTGTGGAATTTGCGCACCACCACGGCTAGTGAACGGAAGCCTCGCTTGTTTACAATGGCGTCTTAGAAGACGGACTTTCCCAAGATTAGATATAAACGAAACTAATGAAAAACTGAAAATTAAACTACAGTGACTTCAGGCTCCTCAATGAAACTGTGCACCCTTTAAAAGGTTCTGAACCACCATTAATTTTGTCGGATTTGAAAGCTAAGTGGTTCGGAAGTTTTAGGCTGCGAAAGTGTGAAGTTTCACTAATATAATATGTTCAACGTTTTACTTGACTCCGGGCTTCGTTAGGAACATTAAAAAAACCCAATGTTAATGACTGCATCAGCTATAGAAACCAAGGCGAGCACATCTCTACGTCACAATGCTAAAAGGAGCGATAAAACACAAATCGGAAAGGCCAGAGAAAAGGGAATGTAATGGCAAGAAGTGGTATCAGTATAACAATTACTATGTTGTACCGTCAAATCATATCAGTAGAAATGTTATTGTTTTTGTAAAAGTAATTCGTAGTAGTAGTAGTAGTAGTAGTAGTAGTAGTAGTAGTAGTAGTAGTAGTAGTAAACATCTACATGTGGAAAGGAACTTTTTTAAATGTTTAATTCCCCACAGGTAGGAAACTTGTTACCGCTCGAATCGAGCTCAAAGCCAAGGTAAAAAAGCAAAAGTCCACTGAGTCCGTATTTCTTCCACCCCGCTATAAAGGTTAATCTCTTCTGCATTGGTGAACGTCAGACACAAATGGACAAATTATCTTAATTATCATGGTCACTATGGTAGAAGTAGTAGTATAGTGACATCATTTCTTTAAAGAGAGGGAGAGAGAAAGAGAGAGAGAGAGAGAGAGAGAGAGAGAGAGAGAGAGAGA